TTTGAGGGTACTCCACAGGGAGGAATTCCCAAGTGCTCCTTCCTGGGTTCAAAGGGTTGAGGTTTTTTTGCATTTGGGTGGTGGCAGCATTTACCAAGCCAAGGCCAGAGAAAAGCTGTAACCTTGGGAGTGTAATACAAGCCTGAGGTGGCCAGTATTAATTTTTAAAATCCTTGTGGGCCCCCACCTTCTGCACTTGGAGTGACAGAGTGGGGATTCAGCATCAACAGGGGTTCATTTCAGAAGAGGTGCAATTAAGCACTAATGGAGTCTCATTTTAAAAATCAGAAAGTGAAAAGGATACTTGTAAATAAGAGAAAAGAGAGAGATTCCATAGGTCACTCCTTACAGGGTCTTACATTCCCACTTACAAAGAAAGGCAATTAAAATCTGTGGATACAGAAAAAAAAACCATACAGCAGTATAGATCTGTCATGAATTGATATTAATATGAAGTGGTATTTTACATGGAAACATACTGCATTTATGCTTCTTATTCTGGAATCATACGCACGCACACAAGGCAGTCGGCATACCCACTGAAACAGCACTTTGATTTGTATTAAGTGTGCTATACATTTTGGCTTTCAAAAGGGATTAGATACTATGTTCAGATTTTAACATTTCCTTCAGTTTTCATTTAATTGTGGTATATTCTAGGCAGGGCTGATAGCACTGTATCAACAGTAAGATTGCCCAACATTTCCCATTATAAGAACCTGTTTTCAATTGGTTCAAGTGTGACCAAGTTATATGCATTTGGGCTGAAATTTTCCATTCCTGGTGTCTGCCTCAGGCTGATTTTTTTTTTTTTTAAATTTCAGGCAAAAGGGTTCAGCAATTTCCAAGAAAGAAATATGGATCATTATGTTGTTTGCTCATGTTAAAATATTCTAGACACTTTTTCTTTTAAAAGCTCTAGCACCTCCATGCTTTGGAGCAGGGACTTGAAATTTGGCAGGGGGCAACCTTTGTTTCACAGATGTGCCTTTTATTGTCCCTTGGAAACTCCATCCTAATGTGTCCAAATTCTTATCCTTGAAGAACTGCAGATCAAACATGCTCAGTAGAGGGTTCTTAGATTTTAGCAGTTTTCTCAAAGATTCTCTGTGCACTGGACATGTTCCAAGCCACAGCTGAACAGGGTTTTGTCTGCAATTGCAGTTCAGGGCTGCTATAGGCTGTTCTTAGTCCAGGCATCTAAGCAGAGAGACTGTCTCTCCTACGCTTCCCATGATCCCCCATCTGCCAGTAGGCCCAGGCTGCATGGAGGAAGAATTCATCTGAGTCTCATGCAGAAGGGATAAAATCCAGACCAGAGGGGAGGGAAAGGAACACATTGGGACAAGAAGCTTGGGGGTGGGGAACTAGAACTGTGAATTAAGGGGAGAGATGAGACTGTGGCGGGTTGGGAAAAGACACTGGGAGAAGGATGGGAAATGCCGGAGACTGAAATCAGATGAGGAGTCAGGCATCAGACTCAGAACGGCTGGCTACGGAGACTAGGACCAATACGTAAGGGGGAGGAGGTGATGAAGGAGAGGAGAGAGATCTGGCTGGAAGCCAGGATGAGGGGAGAGAACTGAGAGGGGACACTGAGATTGGACAAAAATCCTGGAAGGAAGATTGGGACTGGGAACATGGGAGCAAGGAGGGGCATGACTGGAGGCCAGGGTGAGGGAGAGAAAGATTGGAAGAGAAGCAGGAGAGGACAACTTGGACTGGCTGGGTAAGGAGATTTAAGTTTGGAGGAGGGATGAACTAGGAATGGCTACACAAGAAAACTGGGAATTGGGGGCAGACTAATAAGGGGATCAGAAGTCCACAATGATGAAACTAGAACTACCTGAGCAAGAAAACCAGGATTGGGATGAGTAGCCTGAGGAGTGGAGACTGGGACTGGGTAGGTGAGAAGTATGGAACTGGGACAAGGAGGCCGGGATGGTAAGAGACAGGACTGGGACAAGTCTGAGGGGATGGGACAGAATGTGTCACACTTGGGGCACATGCACAGAAGAGTCTATACCTGCTAGAGCACACAACCTCCAACAGAACGGAACCTATAATTTCTGAGTCTCACCATGCTCTGCTGTGAAAATCTCTGAAACCACTGGCAAAGGATCTCATCCCCCCCTTGGAGTTGGTCTACACAGAGGATAACAATCCACTGTTGCTATCAGTTACTCCATTAGTTCATGTGTCAGAGGTGTATGCAGTGGGTCTAAGGGTTCCTTTCCTGTTGATGAACCATGTAAGAGTGTCAATATGATCCCACATAATGGTATTTCAGGGTGTGGTTTTTTCCAGTTTCCTTTTTAAAAAACCTAGGAAATTACACATGAAAACAAGATGAAAAGAATATTATTAAGGCTGCAAAGTTAAGCTCTAAAAAATTAGGAATTCCAAATTAAGGATGCCTGTGCAACCTTAATTCAGCTGCTGGGGGCATTAGGATACAGCCTCTAACTCTCACACACTATTTTTCCATAGGACCCTTGCCTCAGTCAGTGCACAGAATGGACAGTGTTCACTTAATGAGGAGATTTTTTTCACCTCATTGTTCAGTGTATGCCTTCTTTACTGCAAAACCATCTAAATCCTCCTCTGATAGAGTTATTAGTTTCCTTATGAATTTTCTATGGCGCTGGTCACTATAGCATCTGAGTGCTTTACAAATATTAATGAATTCATTTTCACACTATACTTGTGAGATGAGTTGGGGGCATTATCCCTATTTTACAGATGGGGCAATGAGGCCCAGGAAGATTAAGGTCAAAAGTGTTCACTAATTTTAGGTTCCAAATTTCAGCGGCCTAAGAACTCCTTTTTTAGAGCTCTTACCATTATATGGCATTTTATATGATCAAAGCACATGTCCCATTGACTTCAGTTATAGCTGAGAGTGTTCAGCACTCCTGCAAATTAGATCCCAGAGTCTCAACTCAGGCACCCAGAAAATACAGAACACACTAAATTTGGTATAAGTGACTTGCCCAACGTCACATAAGAACTCTATGGCAAAGACAGGGACAGAATTTAATTCCCCGGGATAGTATTCAACTGCTTTAACCATGAGACCATCCTTTCTCTTCCTGCATTCTCCTGCCTCATGCACTATACACCTTCCAAATTCTGCTACAAATGATGCAGGGACCTTCAAACAACTGTCCCCTTCCCTGCATAACCTTGATTTATATTCAGAGCATGTCTATTCTGTGAACCAACTGGGGCAGAGGTCCAATGGAAAAAATAGTGTGTGACCAAGAAATTAAAGACTGTATCACAGTTCATATGCACAAGGGGGCTGAATTAAGGTTGCACAGGAAACCTTAATTTTGGCATTTCCTAATTTTTGAGTGCTTGACTTCGCAACATTAATAATGTTTTTTAAAACTTATTTTTGTGTGTGCGATAATAGTATGTACAGTAACATGGATACCTCTTCTCCATAATAAAAATAATAAGAATAACATAAGAACGGCCGTACCGGGTCAGACCAAAGGTACATCTAGCCCAGTATCCTGTCTACCGACAGTGGCCAATGCCAGGTGCCCCAGAGGGAGTGGACCTAACAGGCAATGATCAAGTGATCTCTCTCCTGCCATTCATCTCCATCCTCTGACAAACAGAGGCTAGGGACACCATTCCTTACCCATCCTGGCTAATAGCCATTAATGGACTTAACCACCATGAATTTATCCAGTTCTCTTTTAAACGCTGTTATAGTCCTAGCCTTCACAACCTCCTCAGGCAAGGAGTTCCACAAGTTGTCTGTGCGCTGTGTGAAGAAGAACTTCCTTGTATTTGTTTTAAACCTGCTGCCTATTAATTTCATTCTTGTATTATGGGAATAAGTAAATAACTTTTCCTTATCCACTTTCTCCACATTACTCATGATTTTATATACCTCTATCATATCCCCCCTATTTATGTTTTTCCATGTGTCTGACAATTTTATTCTTAACTATTGTTTCGACTAATTTGCCCGGTACGGATGTTAGACTTACCGGTCTGTAATTGTCGGGATCACCTCTAGAGCCCTTTTTAAATATTGGCGTTACATTAGCTAACTTCCAGTCATTGGGTACAGAAGCCGATTTAAAGGACAGGTTACAAACTTTAGTTAATAGTTCCGCAACTTCACATTTGAGTTCTTTCATAATAATTTGTTCCTTCTGTAAAATATACTCTGGATTAAAGTAGTATAGCTAAAGAACATTAGATAGTTATTCTCCTCCATAGAAATCTAGGCTACAAAGACTTCTTCAATTCAGAGAATTTATATGTCAGAAAACTGGTCTTCTCTTTCAAAAGAGAGAGCTTTCCATGAACTTTCCTTGAATAGTTGCTTCCTGGATACCATACTGGACAAATATACAATGTAAAAGGAGCTGTGCTATTGTGTGTGGGTGTTGTAATAATCATAAACCTTACGCCTGGTACTGCAAAGCTGATTAAACATTAGCTTCAATATAAAGAGAGTGAATTAATGGATGTCTCCATTATTCATTTCCTTCTAAGTAAACAGTAGAGAAAAGGGATACTATAGGCTTTCATTCCAAAAGAAATCATTGTGAGGATGGGATGAATTAGTTGTTTCCCCTATATGACTAGCACCATCCATTTTTGACTGTTCTAGTTGTCACAGAGGCTCTACCCGTTTAGACTCACCTTGGCAAGCTCGTCCACCCCACTTGCGCTTCTTGCCAACGTTACAAGATCGACTTGCATTTTATCCACCCATGACTTTATTCTACAGAAATAAAAAGAAGAGAGAAAGATGTCCCATCAGATCAATGGCAAATAGTTATGATGATCACAAACACAAACGCAGGCTGACAGATTATCCTCCAGGAGGCAGATTGATGCCGAAGTCCCCTCGATATTGCTGTGAATCTGCTTTAGACATTCATTCTCTTTCTCTCTTTCATAGAAGCTGTCTGCCTTGCCCAGGCAAGGCCCAACACGGTGAGGAAGCTGTATACAATGACCTATCATCAAAAAAAGGGCAAAAAGTCAGGACACATGAAAACAGTTGTTTAAAGGGCACAGGAGCCTTGCCCTTGATTGTTGAAAAAGTAACCTGTGTGCCCTTTTGGAATATGCCACCAATACTGAGACATAAGTTAATGTGAATCTCTTTTGTTAGCTCAAATCTAGCCTGGTCTTACACCAACCAATTTTGTTACTATCTGTAGACTGCATGGTGGTCCCCGCATATCCTAGACAAGAGTTCCTGTCACAAAACCCATCACCACAATTAGCACTAGCTGACAGCTGCAGCAGAGAGGTTAGAGACTAAATGGTATAGAGACTGACTAGCCTTCCACTTGTATTTTGATTCTAAGTCTTCAAGTGTCAGGTGAACTTTTCTGCAGTTGTATCTCTCATAAGGTTGTCTATAGTGATCAGATCACCTGTTGGCTGAACAATCAAGCAGATTGTCAGCACTTATTATTACTATCTATGGTATGGTCCCCATTACCCTAGTATATGAGCACATTCTAATCTTTAATGTATTTATCCTCACAAAACCCCTGTGACTTCAGAAAAGCAGACTTTGACTCCCTCAGGGAACTGATGGGCAGAATCTCCTGGGAGGCTAATATGAGGGGGAAAGGAGTCCAGAAGACTGGCTGTATTTTAAAGAAGGCTTATTGAGGGCACAGGAACAAACCATCCCGATGTGCAGAAAGAATAGCAAATATGGCAGACAACCAGCTTGGCTTAACAGAGAAATCTTCGGTGAGCTTAAACACAAAAAGGAAGCTTACAAGAAGTGGAAACTTGGACAGATGACTAGGGAGGAGTATAAAAATATTGCTCGAGCATGCAGGGCTGTAATCAGAAAGACCAAAGCACAATTTAAGTTATAGCTAGTAAGGGATGTGAAGGGTAACAAGAAGGGTTTCTACAGGTATGTTAGCAACAAGAAGACGATCAGGGAAAGTCTCGGATCCTTACTGAATGGGGAGGCAACTTAGTGACACATGATGTGGAAAAAGCTGAAGTACTCAATGGTTTTTTTGCCTCAGTCTTCACAGATAAGGTCAGCTCCCAGACTGCTGCATTGGACAGCACAGTATGGGGAGGAGGTGAGCAGCCCTCTGTGGCAAAAGAACAGGTTAAGGACTATTTAGAAAAGCTGGACATACACAAGTCCATGGGGCCGGATGTAGTGCATCCGAGGGTGCTTAGGGAGTTGGCTGATGTGATTGGAAAAAGGCAAATATAGTGCCCATATTTTAAAAAGGGAAGAAGGAGAATCCAGGGAACTACAGACTGGTCAGCCTCACCTCAGTCCCTGGAAAAATCATGGAGCAAATCCCAAAGGAATCCATTTTGAAGCACTTGGAAGAGAGGAAGGTGATCAGGAACAGTCAACATGGATTCACCAAGGGCAAGTCATGCCTGACCAACCTGATTGCCTTCTATGATGACATAACTGGCTCTGTGGATATGGGGAAAGCGGAGGACGTGATATACCTTGACTTTAGGAAAGCTTTTGATACCATCTCCCACAGTATTCTTGCCAGCAAGTTAAATAAATATGGATTAGATAAATGGACTATAAGGTGGATAGAACGCTGGCTAGATTGTCAGGCTCAACGGGTAGTGATCAATGGGTCAATGTCTAGTTGGTAGCTGGTATCAAGTGGAGTGCCCCAGGGGTCAGTCCTGCGTCCGGTTTTGTTCAATATCTTCATTAAGTTTGCAGATGACACTAAGCTGGGGGGTGAGGTAGATATGCTGGAGGGTAGGGATAGGGTCCAGAGTGACCTAGACAAATTGGAGGATTGGGTCAAAAGAAATCTGATGAGGTTCAACAAGGACAACTGCAGAGTCCTGCACTTAGGATGGAAGAATCCCATGCACTGCTACAGGTTGGGGACCGACTGGCTAAGCAGCAGTTCTGCAGAAAATGACCTGGGGATTACAGTGGATAAGAAGCTGGATATGAGTCAGCAGTGTGCCCTTGGGCTATTAGTAAGATCATTGCCAGCAGATCGAGGGAAGTGATTATTACCTTCTATTCGGCACTGGTGAGGCCATATCTAGAGTATTGTGTCGAGTTTTGGGCCCCCCACTACAGAAAGGATGTGGACAAATTGGAGAGAGTCCAGCGGAGGTCAACGAAAATGATTAGTGGGCTGGAGGCACATGACTTATGAGGAGAGGCTGAGGGAACTGGGCTTATTTAGTCTGCAGAAAAGAAGAGTAAGGGGGGGATTTGATAGCAGCCTTCAACTACCTGAAGGTGGGTTCCAAAGAGGATGGAGCTAGGCTGTTCTCAGTGGTGGCAGATAACAGAACAAGAAGTAATGGTCTCAAGTTGCAGTGGGGGGCGGGAGGAGGAGTGTAGGTTGGATATTAGGAAAAAAATATTTCACTAGGAGGGTGGTGAAGCACTGGAATGGGTTACCTAGGGAGGTGGTGGCATCTCCATCCTTAGAGGTTTTTAAGGCCCAGCTTGACAAAGCCCTGGCTGGGATGATTTAGTTGGGGTTTGTCCTGCTTTGAGCAGGGGGTTGGACTAGATGACCTCCTGAGGTCTCTTCCAATCCTAATCTTCTATGATTCAAAGGCTGAGTGTCACCATGCCCCATTTTTAGGTGCCTAGAAAGTCACAGGAACAACACTGTGATCCACAAAGCTGAGTTATGTGTGCTGGCTCCCTATACAATGAATGGGGACAGAGAGTCACCTTAGAATGTGATCCAGGATGGAGTAGCAGGGACCCCAAAACAGCCCTTCACTCTCCTGCCAGGTTGTCAGAATGGATTTCACCTCCCCAGTTGCTATGCAGAACCCAAACACAGGCATGAGGCAGCTAGTGGTGATTTGACCTAGAGAGATTCTCTCAGCCTTGGTCACAACAGCAGATGCAGAGTAACAACACTGTTGGATGGCTTTGATTCAGCTGAAGCTTCAGCTCTGATCACTAAACAGGAGCTAAGCCAGAAGAGATGTAAATCACTCTGCCCAGCAGCTGCACACAGTGCATATGCTTTGGATTTCACTTCAATGTCATGTGAACAAGGTCAAGCTCCTAGGAATATAGATTGTAGTCCTTTATCGAACTGGCGCAAGGTCATTTGCCCTCCATGTAAGCCAGGGCATTTGTCCCTGTAAGGAGAGGTTTTTGTTTCAAATAGGTAGCACCGACAGGTAGGAGAATGCAGCAGTTAAAGTTCCAGAATCGTTGGGGATTATTGTCATTGTACTATTACGTACCGCAATTCAATTGAGGCACATCAATAGGCTGTCTCATTCAGATTATATTTTATTTTATTATAAACCCTCTCTGTCCATAAGCCATCACCCACACTTGTAACACTACTATCACATCCTGGGGTGCAATCTGGGATGAGGAGTTGTATCACCTCTTACCCTATAAACCTTATGTGCATTAAAAGCTTTGTTACTGTAACTCCCTGCCTGGGATGTTCACAGTCAGCGACTAGCATGCCCTGAGTGGTTGTGTATAACTGCAGCCTTAGTCCAGCAACTCTGAACTCAGCAGCCTGCCAGCAATACACCAGTCACATTCACTGTTTTCTACCAGCTTTGGTTGGTACTTGGAGGGTGACCTCAACACAACCCTTCCCCTGAATTTTCCCAAAGCCACATGCTCTGCAAAGTCCAGCCACCTCCTGGACCATTCAGAGAGATATTAAGGTTCATTTGCTCCTTTAAAGAGCCAAAAGCATATTACATCTTATTAAGGGCTTGTCTACACTTACTAGAGGATTGACGGTGTGGCAATTGATGCATCAGCAGTCGATTTAATAGGTCTAATGAAGACCCACTAAATCGACCGCCGATCGCTGTCCCGTTAACTCCTGTACTCCACCTGATCAAGAAGAGCAAGGGGAGTTGACAGGAAAGCATCTCCCATCGACGTTACCTAGTGTAGACCCTGCGGTAAGTAGATCTAAGCTATGTCGATTTGAGTTACGCTATTCACGTAACTCAAATTGCATAGCTTAGATCCACTTTTCCCTTTAATGTAGACAAGGCTAACTTAACTGGGGTAAATACACTCTTCCCTTCAAGCAGAGCACTGAGTTGTTTTATATTTACTATAACCCAAGTTTATTAACAAAAGGACAGAGTTAAGTGACACCAAGCAGGAGGAATAAAGTTAGAAAGGGCTACAAACACACAAAAAAGCAAAAATGCGCTTTCTAATGGCTAAGACCTTACTCAATCAGCTACAATCTTTGTTCAAGGTCATTTCCTTATCAATCTTCCATTCCCAGAGACTTCAGCCCCCCTGACTGATGGACCCATCTTTCTCGGCTTGCAAGAGCTCTGACCCCTTGCTTGTGTGTCTCACGATGAATGCCAAAAATGGCTTCTGTCCTTGCTTATTTCTTCCAAAGTTCAATGACCTTGTTCCAAGACGCAGAATGACCTCATGCTGTTCTTCTCTTCCTGAGGGCCTCCCATCCCCCTCCTTAGTTCCATGTAAATAAGGCTTCCATTGTTTTTGGTCAAACCTTGTTTAATTTTGTTGGAAACAGGTAGATGCATTCCCTACTGTCTGGGAGGGAACCTAACTGTTTCTCCCGGTGTTTGGTCACAGACTTTAAAGTATAGTATCATTAAGCAACCATATTTCCTCATACAGTGTTAACTGCAACATTTCACTAGGATATTAATCATCACTATATCATTGGCAGAAAAGACCTGACTAGATACACTTTTATAATACAGTAATATTGTATACACACAGTTGATTCAATTGTT